CATTCATTCTGTTTATTTCCAGGAGGAAGAAAGACATCGGAGAGCAATATGGGAAGACAATGTCAAGATGATCAAACTGCTCAGTGAGGAGAATGGCCTGGGGATGAACAACGTCACCGTAGAGATGAATGAATTTGGTGACATGGTGAGTGTGACTCAAACTGTCCCGCACTCGTTCTTTTCCTCTTCTGTTGTTTAAATTGAGTCTTTATGTGCTGTTCCCTGAAGACTGGTGAAGAGATGAGGGAAATGATGAAGGGGAGTTCAGTTCTGACTCTAAAGAATGGGAAACACATCCAGAAACGAGGAGATACCAACATCCCCAAAACTTTGGATTGGAGAACACAAGGCTATGTAACCCCCGTGCAGAGACAGGTATGACATCACATGACTGTCTTCTACTGGGGATGCAACAAGCTATTGACATGTATGTATTTGACTGGTATGACACGCTATTGACCAAACTTGTTTTCATATCTTGAATACCACAGGTATTGTCCTTAGAATTCTGTTGCTAGTAACAAATGTTTCTTGGTTGTCCCCCAAAATGAGGAATCCCTAATTCATGTCTTAGCAATTATGGGGCCTATCCAGGTGTAGAATGTATATCTAGCATTTCCACACACTACTTATTTACTCTTTAACCTCCTTCTAGTGGTCCCACTATATCTCTCTCCAGACTTAGGTACTTAGGTTCTTCCATTAATGACATTCATCACACCTGGCAACAAGTATATCAAGCCTTTATGTGCATCCATGTGTGTTTGTGTGGCCACCCACTGGGGCATAAGACACCTCTCCATGGAGACTGACTCTTCTCACCTAGGCATCTATCAAATGCTAATAGTTCATTTTTGATAAGGACTCAACTGCTTGAGTTTTTGCTGGCTATTAGTATTTGTTTGTGGATAACAATATTATCTTTCCTACTCAGGGAGATTGTGGTGCTTGTTGGGCTTTTGCTGTGGCTGGTGCCATAGAAGGACAACTGTTCAAGAAAACAGGAAAACTGACCCCATTGAGTGCCCAGAACCTAATTGACTGCTCTAGATCTTTTGGTACTACTGGTTGTAAAGGAGGCAGGCTCTATAATGCCTTCCAATATGTAAAGAACAATGGAGGTCTGGAGGCTGAGGCAACCTATCCATATGAAGCAAAGGTAAGTGGACTTACTGGGTTGTCATTTCAGTTAGGCTGGTGCAAGGGGGAAAAGGCAGAAATAATCCATTGCCTTCACTGTTCCCATTGAATGTAGACTCTTTCTGCATAGCACCAATGTTGACCATGCAGTATCCACCATGGCACAGTTGCCTGATTTCATGGTTCCATGTAGGTGTTCCTGCTTCTCTACACATGGAGAATGTGCAAAGCATTCCACATATAATACAGATTTCTGCACCATGAAAATTTCTTATAGATAGAGGTGTCATTGAAGACATGGGAGCTGATTTTCAGTTCCAATTATCCTAGTAACATTTCCCTTCCTGGAATGATTTATGATAGTGCAGATGTAGGGTTGGTTCTCTGCAAAGTGCCAAGGGTTATGGTTCTGGCTTTTGCTCTCCGGAAGGTAGAGGAAGTAACCAAATCCTTTAACTGTTCACCTTTTTAAGGAAGGACGCTGCAGGTACCGTGCTGAACGTTCTGTTGTCAAGGTTGCCCGCTTTTACGTTGTCCCAAGGAATGAAGACGCCCTACTGAAGGCTTTAGTAACTCATGGGCCCATTGCTGTTGGAATTGATGCTG